AACCCCCTAAGCCCTAAACAGAATCCCCCAAAATGCCACCCGGACTCGCAAGGCGCTCGTCCAACGCTTCCGACGTCAGGTCACGTCCTTGGAGCAAGGAGCGAATGCTGTCTTCCGGAGAGTCCTAAGGGTTTAGGAGTTCAAAAATTTTGGCTGAGACCTTTCGGGGTTTAGATGGATTTTACGATTTAGTTGCTGCAGGGGTCTAGGGTTTAGCTTACCGACCAGATGAAGGCTTGTAGGGCTCAGAGCTACGATCCACGGAGCAGGGCTCAGGATTCGTTAAGGTTTAGGGTTTTTGGAGTTCGGGGTCTGGTGTTTAGGTTTTAGCAGAAAATCCGAAATACCTGAGAACAGCCGTAATGATCATCAGAATCATGACGATTAGTGGAAATCAGACCTGACAATGGGATTCCTCGCGGCCTCAAAACCTCGCAGCCTCACAACCTCAACGCCTGACCTCGCCGCCTCGCGACCTAGCCTCGCTCACTATTTCCCAAATACTCTACTCCCTTTCGGGCGCTTTGCAATTACTGCATGTTCTTTCGGGCGGTTTGCTCTTTGTTTCTCAAATACTCTAGTCCTTTCAAGCGGTTGTTTCCTCCCTGTTTATCAGCTACTGCAGTCCCTGTCGGGTGGTTTGCTACTTGTTTCTCAAATACTCTAGTCCCTTTCGAGCGTGTTGCTCCCTGCTTCTCACACTCTCTAGTCCAGCTAACAGTTCATGTCGAGCGCTTCGCTCCATAAGCAATGGCCATAATCGTCGTCGTCGTCTGGAGTCTGGAATGCAGTGCCTAGACCTGTCGGAGTGACATTACAAGCGCGTGCAGATCTTGGTACTTGCTAACTTATCACTACGAGACACAAAACCCGAAAACCAAAAGCAGCCCGGAAACCAAAAGATGTTCTGCGTCTTCCGTTGCGTTCTAGATCATGTTCTGTTGCGTCATACTGCATAAGTATGTTGCGTTCCATTATCGTGGAAGCTTATACCATGAAGTGGTGCACCACGTTTTATACTTAGCCTTCAGGCGAGAGGAAGCCCGAGGCCCGAAATGCCAAAGCCCATAGTCCCTCAACTAACCGTCGTTGCCCTCAACCCCAAAGCTTTAAGTCCTGAGCTGAATCCGAAACCAAAGGCCGTGAATCCTGCACCCTTGAACCCTCCAAACCTTGAGCCCTGTCCGTTTTAAGGGCCCGAATAGGATCCCGAATTCCTAACAGAATGAAACCGTATTTTGGGAGAGGGGCTTGTTAATGTCTCGTCAAACCCTAAGCCCCAACCTCTAAACACGTAGCCCCAACCCCTAAACCCAAAGCCGTAAACCCTAAACCCTATCTCAAGCCACAATCTTCAACTCAACTCCATGCCACCCGCCTCGACGCACCAAGAGCCCACCCTTCTCCCCGCCGCCAACGACCTCCCAGAGATCGCTCCGAGCAGCCAGCAGCCTCGGTATTGTTGCAAGCCCAGGGTTTTTTCGGATTTTGAAAACATAAGAGCTTTCAGGGTCCCTAAACCCTAAACCCTGAAGGGTTCCATAGGGGTGTAGGAGTCGGGGAGTGAGAGGCTTGGGATTTGGGGAGTCTTCGGGTGAAGGTCTGAGGGATGAAGGGCTTCGATCAGGACCTTGTAAACACTCTATGAGGGCGCCTTCTTTTGCTGTTCTAGAAGTTGAACTGGCTCAAAGAAGCGAATCGGAAAATTCAGGGGCCGAAATACGATGGTAGGATTCTCACTTAAGAGACCCCCAAAGCCCGCAACACTGAAACCCCCGAACAAGTCTGACAGAACGCTAAGGGGTTTAGCTCAGGGATCTCAGCGGGGCTGGACTCGAGGTTTGAGGGCCCTAAACTATCAAAAGATAAAGGAACCGTAGGAAATGCTGATGTTGGTAGCGAACCATCTGTTCAGTGTTGTACAGTCGCTATCCTGATCCTTCCCTTCCTGCGCATTGCACTTCTCATTCGATGACCTTCCCTGCATGCAACGGCGAGCTGAAAGACCCCTACTTAGAGGATCGTGGGACTTGTTCAGTCACTTTTGAGAAGTCGAGTTACGTTCTGAATAACTCCAGCTACTCAGTCCCGATCCCGCACTTTAAACATCCACATGGCATGGCTTCCAAGCAAGAAGCTCGAAGCTTCTAAGCCTCTAAGCGTGCTGTAAGTGCCGGCCGCCGTCACTTTAAAGAAAGCTGCACTTGCAGAGACCGAGAGCGTAAGACAAACGCTGGTCACTTTAGATGCTATAAGTAAACTCTCGGTGTACAGTCTACTGTGACGACAAGTTCTGAGCAACTACAAGGGCTATGACGAGCATTCCTTAGTGCTCGTGAAAAGGCAGTACTACTGTCTGTTGAGGCTGAGCTCAGGCGGTGGCTAAGATTCGCAGTCTCCTGGGCCTGAGATATAATTGAAACGATAAGCGAATTAGACCAGAAACCCTAAACCCTCAATCCTGCTCCCGTCTTGCTCTGCCACGCCACGGCTTGCCTTGAGAGACACAAGAGATCCACCCCGATGGTGGGCCCTGCCACAGCCAAAAGCTCAAGAGCTTTTCGGGTCGTTGGCCAAGTGTCCCACACTCTCTCTCTCTCTCTCTCTCTCTGTCTCTCTTGATGTCTTTCTTTCTTTCTTTCGCCACGGATATGGTGTAGGGGGTCATGCTGTTTCTCTCTCTCTCTCTCTCTCTCGAACTCGAACATCGAAAGCCCTGGCCCGACATGCCAGGGCACGTTTTCTTTTAGGCTACATCTCATTCAAACACACAAAAACCTTCAACAACCAGCCTGACCAAGGAGGAGCTCGTAGCACAAGCGATCGCCATCCTAGGACGGTCTTGGGTTCAGTGTTTAGAGTTCAATGTTTACTGTCCCGAGAAAAGGTTCAGGGTTTGGGGGGTTTAGGGTTTCGGGTTTCGAGCCTTGAGATCTAGACCCTCACGCCCTAAAGCCCAAAAATAAACCAAACCCTTCTAGAATCCGTCTAGAAGCTCGAAACTCTAAGCCCTGAAACCCTAGACCCTGCCCCCACCCCCAGCCCCACCCTATGATCCAGAGCCCTAAACCCCTAAACACTGAAGTCCTAAAACCCCTAAACCCCTAAACGTCTGAACTCCTAAACCCCTAGACCCTATACCCTAAGCCCAAAAACCCTAAACCTAAAACCCTAAACCTAAAACCCTAAACCTAAAACCCTGAACCTAAAACCCTAAACCCTCACCCCCCAAACACTTCCACAGCATGCGCCTTCTCGAGTTGCCGGACTAAGGCGCCCGTCTGGAGTCGGTCAGCCGAGGGATCGGAGCTGGTGTCCTGCAAGACTTAGGCCTTTTTTTGGCTCGGTTTAGGGTTTAGGGTTTAGGGTTTAGGGTTTGGGTTTTAGGCTTTCAGGGTTCAGGAGTGTTAGGAGGTTTAGGGGATTTCGGAGGTTTAGGGGCAGAGTTTTTGGCTTAGGTTTTAGGCATTCAGGGTTCAGGAGGTTTAGGGGTTTTAGGAGGTTTAGGGGATTTCGGAGGAGGAGGTTTAAGGGCAGAGGTTGAGGGTGTTGGGCATTGGGCAGTTATCTAAACGCGAGTCCTCTATTTCCGTACAAGAAGACAGATACACGACAAGGGCCCCAAATGTCTAAGCAAGACCCTGTCCGGAAAACACAGCGTGGCCTAGACTTCAGGTGTTGCTTGTAAGGGGTCAGGGCATCGGGTTAGCATCTCTTTGTGCATTTCGGGCTTTTTGACATGTCTGTTGAAGGTTTCCAGCGGCAGATTGACAAACTTTAAAGGGGTGATGCGACCCCCGAACAACGTCTGCAAAGCCGAAGTCCCACACAGATTGAACCGCAAGGCAGGCCAAAAGCCTTCTGAACTCGACTATACTGCACCAGACTAGGCTAGCCTAACCTAGGTTAAACTAGGCTAGACTCGACGAAATTTTCCTGCCGTGACACTTCACCCCTAAAGTGCCCGCACCCCTATAGACCACTTTAACCGAACATTCCGAACCCCACCACAACAGCACACAGGCCAACACCGCCTAAGCCTAAGCCTAAGCCTTCGTACACCCCAAAACCAAAATCTTCAGCCCTTTTCAAGCCCAGCCACCAAGCCTGAACTCCAAGCCCAAAGACACAAAACAATCCAGATAGATAAAGGCTCCAATCCACTACCCTGAACCCAAATTCCCAAACCTGGACGCCAAGCCCCAAAAGCACCAAAGCTCCAGGATCCCCTCTCTTATAAGCCTAAGGGCTCCACCCTCAACTTTTCACAGAAACAGAGAATACAAGCGCACCTTGGCCCAACACCTACGCCTACCAAAAAAGCAAAGTCCACCGGTGTATCCTTGCCAATCCGCACGAGGAGGCCGCCCCGCTGCAGGCCTCCTACCACTTCCCAGATTGGCCCCATCCGCCTTTAAGGATTCCAGGGTTCTGCGTGGTCTAAACTACAAGTTTTCTATAGGCTATGGGGCATGAGGTTGTGTAGGGACGGAATGATCTGCAGGGGGTGCAGAGTTGACGGAGTCAGGGTCTGGATGGTTTATGTAGGGTTCAGGGTTTAGGGCTTCTGTCGTGGGCCTTCGAGCTTTCTAGAAAGGATTCTGAAAGGCTCCTGCCTTGAGCCATTGGCCATAAACCCGACACCGCAACCAGAAGCCCTAAGCTAGGGTTTAGGGTTCCCCAAAAGAAACATAGAGCCGAAACCCTAGAGAATCGCAGTCGGGTTCTAGAGGATCGCTTGTTCAAGCTTGTGGCCTTCATATCAATGAAAGGTCGGCCCTGGCTTGGGAGTCTTTGCAACGCCGCAATGAAATCCTGTTCAGGATTCTGTTGCCTTCTGCAAGGTTCAGTGCACTGAAGCTAAAGACGAACATCTGCGCATAAGCAATCGAGATGAGTCTTCAAAGGCGAAGTCGCTCGAATACTGGTGGCAAGAGCCACTCAGGGTCTAGTCTAGCTTCCGTATACTCTAAACCCTAAAGCCTCAACGCTACACAATCGAGCTGGCGACCAATCGCCAAAAAAAGCGTTCTTCGCCTATGGTCTCGCTGGCCTAAAGGGCCTTAATCCTAAAGGCGGTCCACATGCCATCTTCGACTGCTCCTGGAGTCACAGAGTTTTGTACCAGATGCTGCAAATGTGATGCGAACCTGTCTGGCATGTGGACTAGTTCACGCACCCAACGCGAGCCAGACTGCCATGTCAACTTCTTAATTCATAGACTTCCTGGCTTAGAAGGGGCACTGGAACAGCTCCTGCGCACCGGAAAATTCGACATGAACCCAGACCCCCCTAGAGCAGATCCCTTCAATGGCTTCCGTTGCCTTACAACGGTACCCAACCTGGTGGTTCCACCCACACGATCCTCCCAGGCATCCCAGAACGTAGGTGGGCCTTAAAGGCATACTACTACGATTACAGCCAATTCGGGCATTCTGTCGTAGGGCTAAGGCCACCGAATCTTGGCTTAGGGTTCATTCACGGTCTAGGGTCTGCCATTCCTGGCTGAGGGTTATAGGGTTTCGTGGTCTAGGGGTTTGGGGATTTAGGGGTTTACGGGCTTTTAGTGTTTAGAGTTGAGGGTTTCAAGGTTGAAATTTACGGCTTCTGCTTGCCATCTCTTTGATTTCTTGCCCAGCTCTGTTGGATGCCTATGGGGCGGACACTTCAGCTCGCTGATCTCGAGCTCAGCTGTCGCAGAGGACTTTGCCTGCGCAGGACCACACCTTCAAGCCTTCCAGAAAGGAAGACGTGCTTAGAAGAACTTCTCGCATTCTACGAATATCTTCCGCGCGGTACTTACTGAGCAGCAAGCTCTTGTGAAAGCCCGAAACAATGGTCGAAGAACTTCCTAAACCCTCAACTTGAGCCCAAAATCCAAATCCCAAAAGCTGACACATACGCCTTTAATCTTCTTGGGGGAATTCATACCAAGGTCTATCGCAGAACTCTACACCCGCATCAGTGTGAAGTAGCCCTCAACCGAATCCACAAGCACCCTGCACTTCGTTTAGGGTTTGGGGCCTTTGGGTTTAAGGGTTGGGGGCACACTCTCGAACCTCAATCAACCGAATCCCCAAATCTCAAATCCTAAGCTTGCTAAACCGTAGTAGTCGTCGGCGTCGTCGTAGTCATTGTGGTGGTGGTAGTGGGGTAGGGTAGCGGTAGTGGTACTTGGGTAATGGTCATGGGAGTGGGGTAGTGGTAGTTGTGATGGTAGTGGTAGTGGTCGTCGTCGTGGACGTGGTTGTGGTAGCACAACTAGCAGTAGCAGAAGAAAGTACGAGCAGAAGATTAGAAGGAGCAGCAGCAGTAATGCTCGAATAGAACAAGAAGTAGCCGTTGATACAAGTGAAAATACGGGCCAAATCAACTCGCAATACCAAGGACGAAGCGCAATCAGGAAAGCGCATTGATCAGCATCACATGGGGACATGAAAACAGTGGGCTTTGTTGGACCAGAGCCGCCGTATTCGACTTTAATGGGAGCACGGCCCCCGCCTGCTTGCCCACCTCCGGGCTTCTGCCTGGAAAGCAAACTGGGTATAGGTGGGTTGTTGAGGGTTTGATAAACCCTTACAGATCCCTCAAAAGAACCCGTAAACAACCCCAAAAAAATCCTGGTCTCTATGGCCTGGGGTTCCACTCACCGTAAAACCTACACCCAATAACAAAAAAAAAGCATCGCGAGACTTGGTGTCGTGTGGGGAGGGCGGGTTCCTTAAACCCCAAATGCGCCCCAAACCCTAACTTCAAGATCCTCAATCCACAACCTTAGAGCCTCAACCCTAAACCATTTTCTCAAAAACCTTCACCACCAATCCGAAACCCTAAACCCTAGGACTGCACATGTTGGGGTTTGTGACTCATGGAGACACGGGTACTGATTTCGTATTTGCAAAACCCTCGTGCCCGAATGCACAACAACACAACAGTTCCGTAATTATGGTCCTCCTCGTGAAATCTGCGTCGGGTTTACAAGTGTTTAAAAGGTGAATTAGAAGGATGCTGGCCGCTTTGTCAACATGAAGCTGCCGACAAAGGATTCTGCTAGCAGTGACAGAAGGGTGTGAAAAAAACGAAACTTTGCCGGTGACTATTTGCCCTGCGTAACACATGTTCAAAACAGCAACCATGAAAAGGACAGAAACAATAACATTAAACCCGAATAGGGCGAAATGAATTTGTACAGACCTAGACAGTTCGAATATGGTCTTGGGTATATTGTAGTCATTGTCGACTCCTGAGAAGAACATCTACATTGCCGCACGAAAATGATTAGGCCGTGGGGAAAATACATTAGGCTTTAGGTTAGGCCAGAGAATAGGCCATCAGGAATCCAATAGGCCATATGGAAAAACGAGGTTCCAGCTGAGATTCCAGGCTCTTTCTGGCTTCAGGAATGTATTAAGCCATATGGAAAAACGAGGCTGAGAGGAATTCTAGAAGCGGATCTTAAGGATATGATTACTAAATTGTCAGACCCCCACAGAAAGGAGGCTGGGGCGTAACTTGGGCAGGCAGCCCGCCTCACTTCTTCTTCTTCTCCTGCCATGCTGGGAAAGGGCTGGGGGATTTAAGGTTTAGGGTTCATGAATTTAAGGCGTCTTGGGGTATGGAGTTGAAAGTTTCGGGGTGAGGGCCGGCACATTCCTCACTTGTGCCCCTAGGTTGCGCCTCACTTGTGCCCTTACCCCTCCCCTGTGCCCCTCGCACGCCTTGCTCGCACCCCTGTGTTTTTTGTTGTTGGGTTCACTCCTTCGGTTTTCGGTTCCGGGTCTGAGGTTCCGCAGGGTTGGCTGTTTCGGTAAAGGGGCTCCTCCTGGGTTCACTCCTTGGGGTTCGTCTCGTTGGCTTTCGGAGCCTGGTGCAAGGTTTCCAACTAGGTTCACCCCCTTACGATCTTTGGTTCACTCCGTATGGTTTTCGTTTCTGTGTGAGGTTCCTTATGGTTTTCGTTGCAGTCGGCTCAATAGGCTCCAGCAAAAGGCTTCCCCTGGGTTCACTCCTTAGGCTTAGGGCTGTTCGGCCTCCGGCGCAGGGTTGGTTCACTCTGTACTAAACCCTAAACCCTAAACCCTAAACCCTAAACCCTAAACCCTAAACCCTAGGGGTTTCGTCTCCTTTGGGGCTCTCGGCTCCGGTGTAAGCTTCGTGCAGGGTTCACTCCTGAAAGCTTTCGATGTAAGGTTCAGGGCCGGACCTTTGGTTTTGGGGTTTATGGGGGCGGAACTCGATAGACTGTCGGCTCCGGGTTCACGGACTTCTGCTGTTCTTGGTTTCCGGCTCGGGATGGGGATTGGGTTCATTCTTGAGGGGTTTCGGGAACTTGAGGATTTACTTTCGGTGCGACGTGCTCCATAACTTTTTACCCTGTGTGTGGCTGCACCACTTGCACTGGAAGGCTTCTGGGATCTTGTTCTTCTCCAGATGTCGGACAGCTGCAACAGGAGGCATTCCACGGCTGGGGGTTTGGACTCTAGGGCTTCTGTGGTTAAGTCTTTACGGTTTGGGGTTTGAGGCTGAGAAACCCATACGTACATTAAGGTATCGAGACAGGACTTAGGGTGCTTGGCTGAGTGTTTAGAGTCTAGGGCTGCCTCACTGAATGAAACCCTAAACCCTAAACCCTGGAACCCCTAAACCCCTAAACCCCTACACCCCAAACCCAACCCCTAAATGCTGCATCACTGAAGGATGCAAGGTGAAGCTTCGCCGGAGGAACGATGGGCTCGGCCAAGAAGGAATGCTCTGGCTCAGCCACTTCCTAGGGTTCAGGGTTTAGGTGTCAGAGTTTCGGGTTTGGGCTTGGGATGCAGGGTTCCGGGATTGGGTTTAGGGTAAAGGGCTCAGTAAGAGCACACCCCACGTAGATGTATGGTCGAATCTATCCGCCCATGAAGCCATATTGAAGTTTGGCGGAGTGCGTTTACAGCAGTTAGGTGTCTGGCTGTTGAACTCCTGTCCTTGAGGGTTTTGGGGGGTTCTTGGAATGAGGGTGTTCCGCTTTGACTTAGAGGCTCGTGGCTTTGGGATCGGCTTTAAATGGCTTTCTAGCTCCTTTAAATTCTGTTCCAGGTTTCCTGGGGCCGAAAAGGGTTTTGGGGTCTTGTGGTTGAGGTTAGGGTTTTGGGTTCTTGTAGTTCAGGGTTTTAGGGTTTGGGGTTTTGGGGTCTTGTAGTTTAGGGTTTTAGGGTTTAGGGTTTTGGGATTTGGGTTTTTGTAGTTTAGGGTTTGGGGGTTTAGGACTTAAGTCCTTGTGCTTAGCACCTTGCTCCTGTCGACTCGGAGCATGTCTGTTGGATACCTTACGATTCACTTCTCGGGAGCATCCTTTCATGGCTTCAGGCTTAGGGTAAGGGGTTTTGGGCTTAGGTTAAAAGGTTTAGTGTCTTGGGAAACATCTTG